TGTTGATCTATTTGAGCGTAGGAAAGTTCTGCAGGGGGATCTGGGTAGTCTGGATTAATGAGCTACATACAATTGTATGGCATTCAACAAAGTTAAATGCTGGATCCTAAGCCTGTGCAACCTCTTGCAGTGGTATAGCTCTGGGGAAAAGCGGCTGGAAGTCCGATCAGCGGAAAAGAACATGGGGATGCTTGTCAACAGATGGCTGAACATGAGTCAGCAGTGTGCCCAAGTGGCTGAGGAGGCCAATGGCAACTGGGCTTGCATCAGAAATAGTGTAGCCAGCGGGACTGGGGAAGTACTCAGCACTGGTTAGACTGCTGCTCGAGTACTGTGTTCACTTTTAGATTGTTGACTACCAGAATTGAGTTAGTTGAGCATGTGCAGAGAAGAGCAATGAAGCTAGTGAAAGGACTAGAAAACAAGAGTTATAAGGAGTGGCTGAGGGAACTGAAGTTGGTTTTTCTGTAGAAGAGGCTTCCTGAAAGGAGGCTGCAGCAAGTACTGTGTTGGTCTCTTTTCTCAGGTGACAAGAAACAGAATGTGAGGAAACATCTTCCAAATTGAGCCAAGGGAGTTCTAGATTGGATATCAGGAAGAATTTCTTCATGGAAAGTGTGGTAAGGCATCAGAACTGGTGGAGTCCCCATTCCTGGAAATATTTAAGAGAGGTATGGATATAGAACTTAGGGCTGTGGTTTAGCAGTGGACTTGTTAGTTAGGTAAATAGTTGGACTTTATGATCTTAAATGTCTTTTTCAATCTACGTTGTTTTATGATTTTATATAAATACCTAAAGGGAGGGTACAAAGAGGACAGAGCCAGGCTCTTTCCAGTGATGCCTGGTGACAGGATACGTAACAATGGGCATCCTTTCTTACTGTGAGAATGAGAAAGCACTATCACAGGTTTCTCAGAGAGGTTGTGGAGTTTTTCCACCTTGGAGATCTTCAAATGCCACCTGGACATTGTCCTGGGCAAGCATCTCTAGATGGTTCTGCTGGAGTAAGAGATTGGATCAGATGACTTGCAGAGGTCCTTTCCAACCTCAAGCATTCTGTAATTCTGCAATAAGTGACCTGATTAACTATAGTATTAATTTTGAAGTGATCACATCTCAAACTAATAATTCCAGGCCCCCTTTTAGTCAGTGGAGAAAAAAAGTCATTAAAAAATAAAGGAATGAAACTTTAGGGTGTGATTCATTGTATATTGAACTAGTCATCCAAAAATAGATCAGGTGGACTGTGTCCTAGAAGTGCCAGTGTAACTGTAAAGGAAAACTGAGGTGACAAGTTTAATTGAAGGCAGCTACACTGAAACTGTTTAGTGTTAGGTAAGATGAATCCCAGCCAAGGACTTAATAGACAAGTTGTTCTATATACTCTGTATGTCTGCCCAGCACACTGCTGACAATTTATCTTGTAGGTGCAATGTATAATGTGCTACCCAGCTGGGAAGGATGGACAGGATAAATATCTGAATCAGTGGATGAGATATACTGTAGATGTTCAAAATGTTTTTCTTCAGCAATAAATGGGCTTCAGGATTTCAGAAGGACCCAGTTCTGAAGCAGCTAGAGAAACTGTTTTTTGGTATGTAGTGAGACATGCAGATGTTTCTAAAAGTCTGTTTTAGATCATGGACGTATCTGCCAGCACAGATAAGAAGCTGCTTGCCAATTCCAAATGTACACACATGACATTTACTCAATCACACATAAACATAAACAAGCAAATAAACAGCCCCCTCCTCCCATAAACTAATCAAGCTTTTTCTCCTTCAGATAGAAAAGGAGGAAAGAAATAGCCTGCTATTGTTTTGTCTTTAATTATTTTCTATTTTTAAATATGAGGAGGGGCTCAGATAATGTATTGATGCTGGAACCATTTAGATACGTAAGTAAACAAAAATATGCAGATTTAGGAATTAGTTTAGCCTTATCTGCAAAAGAAAATTAAACAAAAATAAAATCATAAAACTTATGCCAGCTTTGTTCAATGAGACTGGAATATATCCATTATGGAGAGCCTTCAATCTTCACGCTATGAATCAACAAAATCAATGACTGTTGGGAGTAATTGACCAAATTGATTGTATGTTAAAACTGATTTAATTATATCATTGTCATTATGGTTGGGATAAATTTGGCTTTGATTTTAAAGTGTCAATCTTTCTGTAGAAATTCTGTAGGAGTGTTGGAAGGAATTGGGGAATTAACTTGTTTAAGAATCGTATTAATGGTTGTTTTTATTTGATAAGCCTAGCCCAATTTATACTGCCTTGAACATTTTTATATTCTGTAGAGGAACATTCAGAATTTAATTTAATTTAAGAAAATGCACCCTGGGACTTTCTGTGAGCATTTAAGTAGTGTAAAAGGTGAATTTTTATGATGATATAACAGATATGAATATGTCTCCTGATTCATTTCTGCCATAGTCAGGCATAGTACTGGAGATGTTAGACTATTTGGAAGGTAGTGCTGCCAGAGAATGTGCCATAAACATAAAAGAGAATAATTAAAATAGATCCTCTCAGGAAGAACATTCTATGCTGAGACCAGGATGCATGTATGGTATATTAAAAATAAATACTTTTACTACATAGTCAGAGCTTCAGCTGTCATTTGAATGCAGTGAAACTCTTCATACAGACTGATTTCTGTGAAGCTACACATGAAAGTATGTTACTTCCATGCAGAAATGAGTTCATAGAGTCACTGATGTGTTTTCTTTTATCTGACCTGAAGTCACCTGAAGGCAGGTGGGTGCAGTAAGAATGAAACCAACCATTTTATTTCTTTCATTATTTGTGTTCAGTGGCTGTCAGGAGACTGGAATTCTCTTTTCACTTCAGATGTAACATTGAAAAAGGCATTTTGTCACTGTGTGCCACAGTTTCCTTGTTGCTTCCTATGAATAGCAGCACATAATAAAAGCATTTGTATTATTTTCACTGAATTCTGCCATGCCTTTTGCAGTACTTATACATAATCTTGTCCAATTAGTATTCTCTTCCATAGTGTCTTTTACAGCGAGGATGCTGAGACACTGGAACAGGTCGCCCAAAGATGTAGTTGATGCCCCATCCCTGGAGACATTCAGGATGAGGCTGGATAAGGCCTTGGGCAACCTGATCTAGCTGTGGTGTCCCTTTTAACTGCAGGGGAGTTGGACTAGATGACTTTCAAAGGTCCCTTCCAACTCTAAGGATGCTATGATTCTATGGAGTGGCAGCTGAAAGCCAGTAGGATACCTTGAGAAATCAGTGGAGCTAGGTGTCTACATGAGGGAATGAACTGAGTTCTTTGGGTGTAGGTCATGCTAAACTTCTCTTCAGGCTCCACCATTTTTATTTATTAGAGCTATATTGACTGTAATGCATAGACATGTAGCTCACATGAAATTGTTTGGATCTGGACAGGTAAGTCCTGCACTGAATCTGACTTTTCCATTGTTCTTTTTCTGATTTTTTTTTCTACAATTTTTTTTTTCTAAGGGGCAAGTAGGTGTTTGCAGAAAACATGCTCAAAAATATGCATTATTTTCTCACACATTCTTACAATCCTGGAGTCAGTAAGGTTGGAAAAGATCACTAACGCCATCTAGTCTAACCATCAACCCATCCACACTATGTCCACTAACCATATGCCTCACTGCCACATCAGCACATTTCTTGAATACCTCCAGGGGCAGTGACTCCCGGGGCATTCTACATATTTTTCTTCTTTTCCTGGATAAATTTTTTATTTATTTTTCTTTAATAGCATACTCTCCAAAGATCACCACCTTCAGGTATAGCAAAAATGTACTACAACAGTGTCTGTCAGGGAAAGAAAATACGACAAAAAAAAGGTTTGTTTGACTGGAAATTTATTTACTGTTTTGTGTACACTGAAACTATGCAGTGCAGAAGTGTCTAAAAAAGTCAGAAATGCTTGTGTTAAATTACTATAGTGTCAAATTTGAATAGAATATGAATTGTAACTTGCAAATATGGCATTAGGCAGATGATGTAGTGTTACAAAAACACTGAGGACACATCTCTGGTTCATTTGTCTGGATATTCGAGAGGGCAGAATCAGTCTCTTCTGTTAGTTTCCTTCAGTACACTGCTGTACTGCCCGAGCAGACAGTAGCAGTAGGAATACCAGTTTAGAGAGCTAAGTCTGATGCAGAAAAATCTGTGGCAAATACTTTCTAGGGTGAATTGACTTCATCTTTCTCTTGATCCCAGCATTTCCCAGCTTAGGAAGATAATGGAATATTATTTACTCTGCTGATAGATAATGCCAGTGGAATGTCACTGGGTAAGACTGCAGGATCCACTGTATAGTGTAAACTCAACGAATTTCTACAGGAGCTTGCTCTGTGGTCCACTGGAGATGCTAAGTAAGGACTGCTTGGCATGACAAGAAATTGTTGGAAAAGCCTTTCTCTTGTGCAGCAAATCCTTAGAGTTTATATATGTCACCCGATCACCTTCCAAAATGGCCAAAACATACATGTGGAAAAGTGTCTTCTTTTTGAAAAAAGGTTAATGCTGCTGTACAAGCGTGGGGAGCTGTGGTACAGGTATAAATTTCTAAAACTAAGTGCACTTATAATACCTCCAGATCAGGACTTCTCAAAGGCATCTCTGTGATTTGGCTACCATGTTTTCAAAGTTTCATAAAAAATCTCAGTCTTTATTTAGTAAAGTGGCTGCTAGTAACTTCCAAAGTGATGTGTGTGTTTCATTCCCTGCTAGTAGCCAGGGAACCTTTCACTACCAATACTGGATCTTAGAAGCCCTTATTGCACCTCTGCACTCTGTATCATGTTTTGGATGGACTGACAGGGCTATTGCAGCTCCAGCTCCACTGAAGTTCATGTACCAGCTGCAATAATATTTCAAGTCAATCCTTGATTAGTTAGGGGAAGGTCAGCTATTTCTGACTGGCCTCGCCCAGACAGAGAAACAGAATGAAGCTCTGCCATCAGTGTCCTAAAATAGATGGCCCTTTTCATCTGTCAGGCTTGAGCCAGCCACACGGAACACGAATTAGGAGACACAAATCAATTCACAGGGCATTGGGAAACACAGCAGAAAATCAAGCAAAGAGAAACTTCTTCAGATATGAGCCGTACTCTCCAAACTACTTTCTAGCCACTTGCCTAATACTTTTCTTTTTTTTCTTAAGTAACTAGAAAAAAAATTGCTTTTTTTTTTTTTTTTTTTTTTTTTTTTTTAAGTTCAATAATGAAACTGAGTGTGGGAATATTTTTTGGAGGTTTATTCGCAGCTCTAGGAGTTTTGCTCTTTTTGGTGGCATTTGGAACTGATTATTGGCTTCTTTCTACAGAAGTAGGAAAGTGTTCAAAAGCACCTGAAGATGTTGAGGTTAGTATGGATTTTTATTTATAATTTCTTGGATTTATTTGTTTCATAGGGATTGAATTTTGTATGAATTTTTGAACATACTCATACTGACATTCTGGAGGCTTTTAAGCCTACTTCAAAACCTCTTGTAAACAGCTGTAATCAAGTCTAAAATTCATTAAATTTTTATGATACTACTTTTGCAATATGACATTCTCTCACTATAACTGTAACTGTGAACTATAGCTGTGTAGAGAGGCTATAGCTAACCTCTGTTCAGACAGGCTGTGTGTCATTGTAATGGTGTTATTTTTTACATATCTTAATTTCACTTGAACTTCATTCTTTCAGCTGTTTGAAAAATAGTATGATAAAGGCTTTCATTTTTATTTTTACTTTTCATAGACTGAGATGGCCACGTTTCATCATGAAGGTTTCTTCTGGAGGTGCTGGTTTAGTGGAAATATAAGAGAGCATAACACCAGCATGTGGAAGTTCTGGTACAGTAAGTAATACCTTTCTTTTTATGTTATCTACAATAGTTGGATCTCAAAGCTGTGGAGCTTTTCTTAGTGCTGATGAGTCACTGAATTTCATTTGGTTTCTTCAGTAATCAGGTTCTTTATCTTCAAACAAATTCAAAAGTGACAAACACTTTTAAAATATGTACTAAAGGATATCCCAGGACAAAATCCTCCATGTTTAAGTATCAGCTTACTCTTTCAGTAGTAGCCTGTCATCTTAACTGAGAGTCCATTTTTATCAAGACAGTCTCTTGCTGTGTTGTTAATGGTCTGTTCATTTTCATAAAGCAGAGAAACAGAGCCTCATGCTTAGGACAAGTCCATGAGTTTTTGCTTGCAGTTTCTCCAGCTGATTCTATGAGTAGGTGAGAATGGTGTAGGGCACATCTCCTTCAGAAAAAAACCTCTACTAAATGTGTGGATGACCTGTTTTCTTTCAATATGTGCCAGGATTCTGGAAGATAGTATTTGCCACCAAAATTTCAAATGAAGAAAAGTTCGCAAATCTTACCTTGTTGTGTTTGACCCAACCTGTGAGATATAGTTATCCCTCACCTTATTGCTGAGTTTTAAGAAACCTAGTGAAAAACAGATGCTTTCATACAATTTTAACTTCAGTAACCCATATTTTGCTAAATACATTGCTTGGATATGCTGTAATGAGCAAGAAATAATTAACTCTCGCAACAGAAAAATGCATATGCATGTAAAAGCATATGTTAATATAAACATATAAAAGTATGTATAAAAGTATGTGTTGCAGTGTACCAGATCCTTCCCTTCAACCAGGCTGCTTTACTGTTCCTGTAGTACAAATCTGAGCTGCCCTTTAAGGAGTATCCCTGGCAGAAGATCAAGGCTGCTGTCTCTTACGAAAGCAAAATCCTCTGCAAAACTACTACGAGGGAACACTGAATCTTGTCCTATGAAACTCTGCTTATCAATTTGAAGAACAGTCTTAGGATATTAAATTCTCAAAGCAGTAAAATATTAATAATGATCTTTCTTTTTCTTTTAGCCAATCAGTCACCTTCTAAGATTTGTACACATGCTTACCTCTCACCATTTCCTCATATCCGAGATGAACACAACTCAACTTCTTATGACTCTGCAGTCAGTAAGTATTTTTTTTGGCTGCAAATGGATACAATGCCCATAATTTCAAGAAAACAATTCAGATGCTTCAGTGCAGAACTGCATTATCTATCCACTCAGTTTAATTAATACAGTTTTGGTGTTTCGTACTTCTCAGACTTTTACAACATGCATATTTAAGACACTATTTAGCAAAGCACTTAAATGAATGCGTAGCTGTAAGTATGATGGCAGAATGGAAATCATTTCTATAAGCAGAAACATTTCCTTTTCATGCTTTTTTTCTTCAAAATAAAAAGTATCTTTCTTAGGATGAATGCTTTAAACAATTACTTCTTCTCATGTATTCCAATTAAACTGTTTCTTCTTAAATAAATAAATCACATGTGGAAATATATTGCATTTTTACCTTATGAGTAATGAAGAGAGGGGCCTTGTTACAGTCTAATTTTATTCAACTATCTCAGATATACTGCACTGAATGCTGGAGGTACCAGTTTCTCTCAACTGACACAGACACTGAATATTATGTGCTATACATGAATAATATAAACTAACACTATATTACTGTGAAGTATTGTTCTGTGAATTAAATTCTAGTATTTTTAAATATTTACTATATTAAGCTGATATTAATACCAAGAAACTGGTGCAGTAACAGAGATACATACGTATATATATATATATGTATGTAAGATACAGAGCACTGAAAACCTTGTGTTTGAATACATAAGGAAAGCTCTGGAAAGCTCTGTTTTTTCTACTCAGCTCAAAAAAATGGTCACATTTCATCAGATCAAGGGCTTTTTTCAAATGTATTTTTAAGACTATTGCTTCTGATGGTTATTTCATATAATTTTTAAAATAACCTGTGACATATGAATGCTGCTTGTATCTGAGCCTACTGACTCAATGACTTAAGTGATATCTGAAGCTGTAATTATACCTTTGCTAACTTTGAAGTGTCTTTCTAATCCATTTTTTATGCTGCAAAAATGAGAAGGAAAAGAATTTGTGTTGGTAACAGTTCTGTTAATCTTTAGAAATTATGAACTGTTTGTCCACGAAGAATTCATACCTTACCATTCAGAGTCAGAGATCTAATCTGTAATGTTGAAGCACATCTAGAACAGTTTATCTTTTCATTTGAAAATGACAGAGCCATCTGCTCCTAATAATCTAGACAAAGTTGGTATTCAACCATGCACTCATACATTCACAAAGGATCTTCAAATCATATTGCATGATTACATAGAAGTGGACAAACAAAGAAGAAGAAAGGAGTAGGAATATCATCAAAAGTTTAATTAATTTCAGTTAATATTTGCCAAAAGAACACTGCTCAAATATAATTTTCCTATCTATATTTCATATTAGAAGATTAAAAATAGGCAGAACTGTACTATAGATACTGGCACAGGTAGAGAATATTCAGAGCCATTCCTGCTGTATAAATAGATACAGTTGGATTGCTTTGGATCTCATTAAAACTAGAGAGTTTTTTTTTGTGCCTCCAGTTCATTTTCAGCATCTAAACGGAATTATTTACCAGAGCAGGTATACTTGCTTAAGAATCTTTCACAACTTTTTATTAAGAAAGTTATATCATCATCTCTTCTATTAGTACAAACACTCAGTTTCCTTTTAGTGTACTTTGACAGGCCTGCCCATCATATTTGGCTTTTTAAAACCTCACAGAATCTACAATTACTAAATTAAGAAGTACTGAGAGTTACTGCCTTCTTGATTCACAGTGAAGGAAATGCTTTTCTGTAAAAGATTGCGGTGAAAACTCTCCATTTGACTTTGTGCAGAAAAACAGTTTGTCAACTATTTGTACATCCACATGGCTGAATCTAATATTCTCATATTAGATATGAGAATATCTCAATAAAAGAATAAAAAAGCTCAGAATGAAAGGGGTTATTGTGCCTTTTTTTTTTTTTTTTTTTTTTTTTGGTTCTGCTACTGTACCTTGATAGAATAGATAGAATATTTCCATTTTTGTGGATAACAGTTTTGTCAAAATGTTCACTTTTGGGGATAAAAAAGGTCTACCACACACTTCTTCAGAATGATTTTTCACTTTGTTTTTAGAGAGATCCTCAAGTTTTATTTTTATTAGGAGTGTATAAGAAGAAATATGCTGTCATCTGAAAAATATTCAATTTGCTGAAAAATAAACAGCTGAATAAAAAGCTTTAAATTTCATTAGAGAAATCAAACGTGTATGTACAACACAATTTTCTTAAAAACTCAAGCCTTCTGTTAAGAGAACTTTCTCAGCAAGCAAGGGCATGTGAATTCTTTTATAGACAGTTTGGCTTAAGAGGCAGTGGGGCCTTATCAGAGCAAATCGGCTTTAATTGAAGCCCCTAGTGCAAACAAAAGCATAGTTTGTAGCTGGAATGCTATGTTACCATTCAGTTAGAATAGCTCAGGCAAACATAAGTTTCCTGAGGAACCATGAAATCTTGGATGAATTTTGATTGGAATGAGTGGACCAAGTTCTCTATTGCAGTAATTCCTTTGGCTTTAGTATCAGTAGCAGTTTGGCTCAGATATTTTTTTTTCTAAGATATAATTAAAAAGAAGCTAAATCTATCCTCTCTTAACTTATTTACATCCTTTCATATATTGGTTTTAAGGTGTGTATGTGACATATTCCAAAAGACTCAATCACGAAAGATCTCAAAGTCTAAAGTGTTAGTATGCTCTACTCAAAAGGCTTGGTTCAAGCTGGTGAGGAGACTTAGACTATGAGCTCTTGGTGCCAAGAGTTACAGTCTTATTCAAATGCATATTTTAATGTCTCAGGTTTCCTTTCACCATTACTGTCAGATGCATGATCTGCTTGGAAGGGTTAGAAAAGACTTATTTGAAATTGCAGTTTTCTTTATCTTAATCTCAATTATTATGGCTTTATTCATGCTCTAGTTTTGTTAAGTATTATGGTGGAGAGAGGAGGACTTTACCTACCTGCAGTGTAAGCTTCAATCAATATCTGTGCTAGCCATCATTTACAGTTAATGGACTTAAAGAAATTTGCAGTCAATGCCATTTGTCTTAACCTGAAATAGGAATCTAAGTGAAGTCAGGGGAATCCTGTCTCCAGTGGCTTTCTGTGATGTTACAATGGTTTATGGTGACAGCCATGCCAGTGTGCAGCTATTAAGCAGTCAGACAGCACTTCATTGTGTCACCAGCAGATTCATTTCTTTGATGATTCACAAACGTAAGTGAAACAGACTGAAAGCTAGAAATAAAAAAAAAAGTTAGACCATACAGTGAAAGTACTGGAGTAGTGATCTTTTATTTATTTTATTTGAAATATATTATTCTAAAATATACCTATAAAAAACATACACATATGTATAATCATAATTAGATCAGTTATCCCATCATGCTATTTTGAAAATATAATAGTATTGTACTTAAATAAAAATTAATTGCAAGCTAAGTTAATTAATGGTATCACATCACTGGTTTACTTAACAGTGACATTCAAGGCTCTCACACTTTTATAAAAAATCTCTTGTACTACCAGACAATACTAGAATTGTTTTGAAAAATGTTTGAAGTCCTTACTCATACAAGTAGTCCTGTTTGTCTAAAGTGTGATAATTTCTAAGAAAAAGAGGTGCAAGATCTAGCACTTCCTCAGATCATTAATTTTATTTTTGAGGGGTGTTTTTTTTCCGAAGTTTATTTGGAAGTAAACAGTAGTTTCTTAACTTTGTAAATTGCCTCAGTGCTGCCTGAAGCTACATTTGGAGCCATTTAATGGAGTGCTCTGGCACTTCAGTTTAATACTCCGATCTGTAGCTGCTAGTACATTTTTCCTTGCCTTTATATCTTATTTAGTCCAGTCTTGGGCACATTGCCAGTGTTGAAGTAGTGCCTATGATATGCAATGCAGAATGTTTGCAGAACTGAAGAGAAATTGTGGTTCAGCAACTATTGCATCTATAATAGTGTTATCAAATTTACTGGCATGTTTGTTACTGGGCTAAAATTAACCTACTGTAATCTAGGAAATATCAGCAATGAAATCTGAAAATAATAATTGTTTAGTGAAATGCTAGAAGTAGCCTATTTTTAGGGGAAAAAATGCTGTTACGTAAGATGGTCATATAATTGTTCATGAGAAATTGTAATGCAGTACATTTACTGAGGGAGAACTCCCCAGCCACTAAGCAGTAATGAAGCAGGAAGTATTTAAAAAAGCAATATATTCATACTACAAATACTATATTTGTTTTACTGTTAAGGTTATTTGAAAAAAAAAAAAAAAGATTATTACTACTATGGCATAGTGAAAGGTACTTAGTGAAACTGGAACAGTTTCACAAGGTTTACTGTGTTGCCTCACTCTTCTGATGGGAGCTGTAATGTTGTTTACAGTGGTTTATCTGCAGAGAAAATGCTTCTGATTTAGAGCAGCTCAGGCACTTACCTTTCATTGTACTTTATATTGTGGGTGGCGTTTTGATGCCTGTTGTCAAAAGTACTTTGATATCTCTTACATTAAATAGTAAGCATGTTCTAAAATACTCTGTATAGTCAAATCACAGGAAAGGTTCACTTTAGGACTTAAATTTATTGGTAAAAATTTTTGGCAAGTTCTCCAAGTCATTTTAACTGTTATTAGCAATGAAGCACTGTACTCACACAAACATTCTTCAAAAAGACTTTCAGCTTTGTAGTGCGTTCAATATTAAACAGATTTTTTTTTGTTGTTGTTTTGATTTAGTTCTTGGTCATAGAATGTTGGGCCAAGTCCTTTCCATTGTTGAGATTTTGAAACTCCTGAAGCCAGCAAGGGCAATAAAATATGTGATATATATCTGTGAGGTTGATATCAGTGTCTCTAGTAGTAAGTAGATGTGTGCCACGTGGTGTTATGGGCTAAGCTTGATCCTGAATAGCTGACTATGTAACTTCTGAGGTGCGCATTGCAACCAAGTAAAAACTATCATGCCTTTTAGGTGGCATGACTGTGTAATTTCTCAAATGCATTATTGCTTCCTTTTCACATCATGCACCAGTAACATCTTAAAACATGAAACTGTGGCTCGAGTTTATTGTGGATCTGGAATCCACAAAAGGAGCCTTTTCGTAACTAAACTATTTCTCCATAATTCACTCACTTGCTCAAAACCCAATACTATGGCTACTTTTCAAATGATGCAGAAGTCTCTTGAAGAATCTGACTTAGGATGTTTTTGGAGAAAAGCAGTAGCAAGGCAGAATTACAGGTCATGCAATTTTGGAGGAATATATTGCAGCTGTGCTATTCCCGCAGCATATAGGTTGAAGGTGCAGAGCTCAAAGACAAACATACCAGCTGTACTCCTGTTGTCCTCTAAGTACTGTCTTATTTTTAGGCCTGCCTGTCACTACCAAGACAAATGTTGTACCCTGATGAAGGGACAGCTTACCAAGACAAGTTATACATCTCTCTGTTTAGCACTCTAGAGCAATGATACCTAAGGTTAACACTGCAAATATGTTTATTACAGACTGTGTGGTAATGCTTATACTTTATTTCTTCCACTGCAGGAAATACTTGGAATAATATACCTAATTGAGGTAGATAATTCTGACATACCTGTGAAGTAAATTTACTTAGTGCCTACTACCTTTTGCGGAGGTGAATTCCTTGTTGTCTGGCCAGAAAATGGGCAGTCTTATGAACTACTTCAGCAATACTTGAAATATGCAGACTTCTCTTAACACCTTATATGGGTGCACTGAACAACTATTCATTAAAGCAGACTGCTTGGATCACAGTATCATTCCTTTTCAGGGGCTATAAAGAACCATAATTCAAAAAGCATTTTCTGTTGCTTTTTAGCTGTCATGGTTCACCTCAATCTCAGAGCAGTGATGCTATTGACTTAGAAAGTTTATTATTAGGTAGGCTGATTTCAACTAGCTCTTTTTTGTTCATCTGTTCATGCCAGCTAAACTAATGACAGCAATAGGGTTACACTGTAATTTTGACTTATTTGCCCCATGGGAATTGCTCATCTAAACAGAGAAGGTGGGAAACTGGTCTAAGCAAAAATTGTCTGAATATGAAGTAAGTGAATTCTTCTTTGCAAAAAAACGGTTGCCTTTTAACTGCTTTAGTAAATCATAGAATTGTTAAGGTTAGAAAAGACCTCTCAGATCATCTAGTCCAACCATCCACTACCACCAATATTACTCACTAAACCACGTCCCTAATAATTACACCTACCCTTTCCTTAAATACCTCCAGTAATGTTGTCCCCACTACCTCCCTGGGCAGCCTGTTTCAGTGCCTCACTACTCTTTCTGAGAAGAAATTTTTCGTAACATCCCACCTGAAATTCCCCTGGCACAACTTGAGGCCATTACCTCTTGTTCTCTCTCTGTTACCTGGGAGAAAAGACCCCACCTCACCTTAGCCTCCTTTCAGGCAGTTGTAGAGAGCGATAAGGTCTCCCATGAACCTCCTCTTCTCCAGACTGAACAATTCCAGTTCTCTCAGCCTCTCTCCATAAGATTACTGCTCCAGACTCCTCACAGCTTCACTGCCCTTCTCTGGACACACTCCAGGGTCTCTTAAGATGTTTCCTTGGACTTGTGCCACAAAGGATCTTAATGTCTTGTAGATTGTGGGGGTAGGATTTTGCATAAAAAGATAGATTAGGGAACTCTGCAGATTTTTTACCTATCTTCTTTATTTTCTAATTGATGTTTAATGATAGATTGCCGGATAAACAACTGTTAGGATTGTCAGAATACCCCCACAGTTCTCTAGAGAAAATAATTATTTATAGAGGAATACAATGGAAGGTTATGCCAGAAGATAGCTAGGTCAAATCAGTATTTCACTTATAATGCATAAAATAGTTATTCTGTCCAAGCAGAGAAACTGCTTATCTCTTCTATAGTCACAAAGAGGTTTAAACATTTTTCCATCAATTATATTTGTACTCCTTTTGTGTTTATTTTTCAGGAATATTTGAGCAAATCAAGCTTTTCTGGTAAAATTTCACTAAAAGCTTATGTCAGGAGCAGATAATGAAACTGCACACTGATTTCATTATGCTGTAGAAGCTTATGTCCTCTTCCATCTCTAGAAACACTGCTGTACAACTTCAGCGAGTGACAATAATGATATTGAAGTAAGCCCTTTCAAAGTTCATTTTGGCCAATGTGCCCTGTTATGTAGCATGACTTTGAAGTACCTTGGGCCATCCATGTAAAATAGTTGGGTGGTTATAGGCTGATTTAGCAGTATTAGGTTTTAAATGAGGAAGTAATGTCCCATGGACTTGGGGACTGCAATGGAGCTTAACAAAGTAGCCCCATGAGTAAAATAATATGAAATTGCTTCAAAGACCCAAGACTGAAGGACTTAGGAGATTTACTTTCTCTAGCCTCCATTCACTGTCCATTTGCATCAAGTGAATCATTAAACTATGTGTTTAACTTTAAACAGGTTCCTAAATCCCCTAAGAATTTGAGTACTTAAAGCATAACACACACTTAACTGCTTAGCTGAACCAGAGCCTTACTTCTCACCTACTATTTATTTATTTGTTTACATAGAAGGAAGCCGTGTATTGGATATGAACCAAAAAAACAGTTTTATTCCTCTGCCACCTAATTTCAGACACATTCATCTTCCCTATGCCCAAATCTGCTGATCAGTGTGGCGGAAAATTATGTCTCTGAGTCTTTGCCTGGATTAAAAAGGGCGTTATTTTAAAAGTCTGGCTAATGTGATGTGGTGAATGTGATCTAACTAGCACATACATATATAAGGCTGAGATAAGCAAGATGATGTATATTTTAACATGAGTTAAGCTGGTCAAGTTGAAAACTGTAGATTTTTGAAACATATTGATGGGAAGCACAAGCTGATAACATGTAGTTCACCTCCAGATTTCAGATGAAAGCAAACCTGAATTATTCCAGAAGCTGGCTTTAGCAGGCAGGATGGATTTGAAACTTTCAGGATATGAACCAGTATAATAGTTACTTAGTTGTGTTTTGCTATAACAGTAAGTAGGTGCTGTCAAATGATAAGTGGCAGTTTCTTTTGTGACTCACTTTTTCTGACATGCCAGCTGGCTTATGTGCTTTCCCTCAGTTGGGTGGAAATGTTTTTCACTGACTGAATTGTCAGTGCTTCAAGATTTTCTGAACTGACGATGGAGATCTTTGCAACTCATAATTTTACTAATGGGTTCTGTTAATGTACCAATTTTTAAATTCATGGGAGAAATTTATGTCAGTCTTGTAGCATTTGTAAAATGATGACTTTGTTAAATGGATGTGCAATTAGGCAGCTAAAAAATAGTTGTTAGAAAGACTCTTTTGGCCAGAGTATGTCACAAAACTCTCGGCTCATTTATCACCAGCTGCATCCATTAATTAAGCACTGCTTGGCACTGTCTAGCAGGGACTTCTGAAACATCAAATTCTAATAAAATAAAAAGAACTTTAGAGTGGAAACAGCCTGGTTTAAAAATTGCTTTTTAAATTAACTTTTTTTTTCTTAAGTTTCTAATGTTTCTCTTCTTTCCTGCTTTAGATTTCCTTTTGTTGTATATAAACTAATAAGAACGATGTACTTGAAAGTTATAGAGAACTTACAGATTGCTTTTGGTGATAGGAACTGAGCACTGAGAAAGTCATAACGTTACAGTTCTCTGTTTCTCCCAGTCAATTTTGGTAAAACAATTAGATCCAGCCAGTCCAATCATTTCTCCCAAAGAATCTTTGCTGCAAAAGATCTGATCTTTTTTTTCATAAATTTTGTCAAGTTACTGTTTTTCAAGTCACTGTCTAAATGTTAAGCAGGTAGACTTCATTTGAGGTAACTTAAACCCTGTTTTCCATGATCATCAGATAGGAACTGGGTTCTGAATCTCCTTTGATCCACGTGACACATAATGCACATGCACAACGGAATGAATGTTCGGTTTGTCAATAAGTGGAAGAGTGGAAAAGAAAAATCTTTATTAGCCAAATACATAACTTGTTTAAGTTCTAAATAAGTGTGATATGCATTCTTTTTATTTCTTTTTTCCAGTTTATCGAGGTTTCTGGACAGTTCTTATGCTCCTGGGAGTGATCACTATTGTGATGGCTAGTTTTCTGATCATCTGTGCAGCTCCTTTTGCCAGCCACATTCTGTACAAAGTAGGAGGAGGCTTTTACATTATTGCTGGTAAGTATATTGTTTGCTCCATCAGTTAAGGCATTAGAATAGAAAGGATGAGGTATTTCTCCCCATTTTCTGTAACAAAAATTATACAATCATGGTTTAAAAAAAAAGAAATTTGTGCCTCTGTGCTTTGACTTGAGGAGCATCTGCCCAGGGTGCAATTCTTTCTACTGTTATCTGAAGCCATTCAGAAAGCTACCTTTTGATTACAATAAAAAATTAAGAAGTACAGGACCATTCATGGAATCACTGCATTTTCAATCTACTTATTGAGCAGGAAAAGGCATGTATCTTTAGGGATACAGCCTTGTAGGATTCTCAAGGACTTCTGCTAAGGAGCTTTTTTTAGTCAGGGACACAAAGACAGTGAAGGTGGTAATGGGAGATTCTAAAGAAGCTGAAAGACACAGCATATTCACATGACAAGTATAGGAGACGTGTTTTGTATGTGACTGGAGTAAACAAAATAGTTGTCAAATATGAGTAAGTGGGAGCTCTAAACTTCTGTGAATGAAATGCAGAATTCAGTAAATTCGGAATATTCAGTAAATAACCAAATTTTCTCTTTCCTCATAACCCACACATAATTTGTAGCATCCTCCCAAGATTGAGCTGATACGGCCAGCTTTCTGGGTCACTGTTCTGTTAACTTTGACAAGTCTGGAAAGATGTAAAAGATAATAGTTTTTTAGGATATAAACGACAGTATGTGCTCATCATTATCCTAGTTTGTATGCATCTTGGTGTTGTGGGGCAGAACACTCACGCCAAGATCAAAAGGCTTGAACTCTATTTCTAATTCCATTATTGACCTACTAACCTGCTTACCTTCTTCATATTGCATATCTGCATACACATGCTGATAAGATCATAATTTCCTCTTAAAACACTTTCAGTGAAATGTGAAGTGTTTTATAATATTGTTGCTGAAAAAACTCTGGAATATTTGCATTTGCTCCTTTGGGAATTACTCCTCCACACTTTTAAAACACATGTAAAAATATTCATGATCTGTTGGAAATTCTAAGGTATTTCATTACTTTTGTTCACTGATTTGCTAATTAAAAGCTCTTGTAAGTCCTGCTCATTTGCTACATTTTTAATCTGTGAAAATCTCTGCTGTCTCTAGAAAGTGTTAGAGACTATAAGGGAGGAAATGGTAAGACACCAGGAACTAGCAAGGAGACCTCTGAAGTGAAGTGTGCTTTCTCCACTCTGGGTCAGTTAGTCTGCCCTAGTTTAAGCAAGTTAGATTCCACAATTCTAGGCTAGTCACCCTTGGCTTCCCTAAGGCCTGCTGAAGGCAATAACAATAGTCATTAAAAGTCAAAACTTTAGCTAGGAAGTTCTCCAGCTGGCAATTAATTTCATCCTGGAGGAGGGGCTAAGCTATTCTGAAGGGGGCTCAGATGAACATACTATCGAATCATAGAATCATCTAGGTTGGAAAAGACCTTCAAGATCACCAAGTCAAATAGTCTGCCTGACCTACTAAGCCCCATCACTAAACCTTGTCACTTACTGCCACAACCACACATCTCTTCAATCCCTCCAGGGATGCAGACTCCACACTCCTGGGCAGCATGTTCCAATGCTTTACCAAGCTCCCTGTGAAGAAAGTTTGCTTAATGTTCAATCTAAATTTCTGCTGGCATAACTTATTCTATCACTTGTTATCTGAGAAAAGAAACCAACACCCTCCTTGTTGAAACTTCCTTTCATGTAGTTGTAGAGCAATGAGATGACAGCTGCTCCTCGTAAGCTTTGTTTTCTAGTCCCTTTAGCAGCTTCATTGAGCAGAGCTGTTTTATTTAAGATATTACTGTTTTTCTTGTTGAAAAGCAAGAGCATTTAGTAAAATTCTGGTATGATTTCCCAAAAGAAACTGGTGACAACAGAGTACAGGACCCATTGGGCTAGCACAAGATATTTTAGCTTGGATGTGGAGAGAGAGATCCTGACAGCTCTTCTGCATCTGCTCCATCATACCAGTAGGACAGAGATGCTTGGGAAATGTACTTACCTAAATATCATTATCCTATTCAAAACTTCAGAACATCTACAAAATCATACCCAAAAGTTTGATGCTCTCAGCTCTTCTCACAAGTCAGCATACTCACATAACCAAGGTGTCTAAAACATGTCCATAACTTGCTGCCAAAGTGCGATTAGCAGTTATACTGAAAGTAGGCTATTGAGAAGGAAGTTAGTCACCACAGTTTTTTTCAGTGAAAGTCTGAAAGCAGAAGATAGGAAGATTGTTCACATTCTTACTTTTGTGTGTCCTTAAAGAAGAATACAAGATGAAGCAATTTTAATAGCTACTACTGGACTGAAGTATTTGTATCCTTTTGCAATCTTAACTGACAAAATGGGTACAGACAATTCACCTAATTTCTGCTAAAGAAGAATGATTTGCCTTACAAAACACTTGACAGAGCCTGTGGAAGAGAGCCTAAGCAGAGATCCTGAATGACATAGAATAAATTTCAGTTGTAAAAAACCTCTTACGGCAATCACATTTCATTTCCCATTCTCAGCAGAGCTGGCTTCAAAAATAAGGCAGCACAGAGCCTTATCTAGTCAAGTTTTGAAAATATCCACTAATTGAAAACACAACATCTTTGAGTACTTGTCCTACTTTGTCCAGTTTGTGATTTTTTTCCATGTGTTCACCTGACATTTTCCTTGCTGCAAATTGTAACCATTATGTCTAATCCTTTCACTGTGCACTTCTCTGAAGACTTTATCTCCTATTTTCTCTATACCTCCATTTAGAAAGATAAAGACTGTTTTCTTCCTTAGACTAAAACTTGCCAGATGAGCCTCTTCTTGTCCTCCATCCCTCTAACAACCATTTTGGTAGTCATCAGTTTAACAGTATCACTCTTTCATGGGTGAGTTTCAAACTGGACACAGTGTTCCAGGTATGCTGTCACAAGTGCTGAGTAAAGGGCAATAGTAGTACTTTGAGAGCTGCTGATGGTGCTTTTATTAAGTGCAGCTCTATATGAGCCTGACTTTCCTTTTTGCTGGACCCTGCTTAAAATCTTGCACACTGATAGGGATCATTCTTGTGCTTTAAGGAAATTGCCAATGAGCAACAGCCAGTTCTTTAGGATCCTCTGTCCTTCAAGGTAGCCTTTGCCCCTCAAAATAATCTCCCTTAGGATCCTGTCTACCAATTCCCTGAACAGGCTGAAGTCAATTCCCCTGAAATTCTGGCTCCTAAATCTCCTGTTTACCTGCTGCATTTCTCCTAGGATACTAAACTATTTTATAGTCATTATAGCCATAGCTAGCACCATCTATCATATCCCTGATCAGCTTTTTCTTATTTAAGTCCATCATATTTTTTCCATTAGTTTGTCTGTTCCAAACATATCAGAAAAAGTCATTGTTGATGCAGTCCAGCTACTTCGTGGATTGCTTGCACTCTGTAGTGTTGCCCTTATAGCAGATTCTGAGATTGCCGAGTTGCCTGATGGATCTTCTCTCACCCCAATAGTCTTCATGTCTCTGAGAAAGGGTCTCATGGATACAGAAGCCTAAACCCTGATTGCAACTCTAGCCACAAAGGCAAGAGCTGATGCACAGTGCATGCCATGTTTTGCCCAAGACTTTGAGCAGCAGGTTTGAGACCATCATCACTTGGGCACCCATGCTCTTACCTCTCTCTGTTGGTGCTCTCTAGGAACACACTTGAGGACTGAAGGTCTCACTGCCAGTGTCACTGGTTCCCACGTAGATGAGCTACAAGGGGGTTATACTCCAAAACAAAGCAGTCTCTGAAGCTTTTGTTCCAGTGTCATAGATCTTGGCTTCAGAAAAGGCGAACAACTACTCAAAGAGAAATTCTCCTGCCTGATCTGTGGCAGAGTCACAGAACTGCCTTTTGATCACCTCAATCTTTAAGAAAATCTTCAAGGTTCTTTTATTGAGCAGTGCTTCTGGACTACTAAATGAAGAAACACACACAATCAGTATTTGTGGCAGCTTATTGACTAGCAGCTTTCCATGTTAAGCTTTCAAATTTCACCTGAGCTTGCACATGGAACTAGATATGCTATGCCAGGGGGAAAAAAAGCACATATTAGTTCAACAGTACCGCAGTCAATGACTCAAGCTGTCTCTTTGCAACCTCATTTCCATATCTTCAACATCAAAGGATGAAGCAAAAGCAGTTAAAGTAGCGCAAACTGTAAGAAGCCCTATGGTTTCTTCAAATACCATAAGACAAGAAAGTTGCTATAACATTATTACTAAGAGCAGTTCTCAGTAAAATCCAGATTATTCTAGGGCTGTTCTTGCAAGATGTCTGGATGGCGGTTAGAGCTTTCCTGTTGTACTGATAAGAAAGCAAGACCTCAGGGTGTGCATAGAACATTAGAGAATCACACCCTTGTGAAGATTACAAATTTCTGCTTCCTGCCAAAAGAGAAAAAAGCCTTCAATCTTAGCTACTAGATGAGGACAAAATCTGTCTTCAAACATATGTGCCAACTCCCATAATTCTAAAGTGGGATCCTCGGCATATACTTTGGAGTGGAATGTAAACAGTACTTTTCAAATAAAGGTCACAAGAGGCCAGAATAAGTGGATCTATAATAAGGACAGGGACAAAAAATTAATTGAAATATATATACATACACATAGTTGTGCAAGTTTTCCTCAAATGAGAGTTCTAAACTTCTAGGCAGAAGTTAAAACTCACATCATTCTTTCTAGCACCTGTTGTCTTTGTGTCTGCATAGTAAAAGATTCATGCCATAAACAGCCATTCACCATTGACAAGTGAAAGGCATTTCTACGTGGGAAGAATAAGTAGTAAAGGCCAGCAAACTGCTTCTTGAATTCATAAACATTTCTAAAGGTTCCGTATTCTTTTTCTTCTGCAATATGCAAAAGTATTGGTTTGAAACAAATTCAAAAGAATAAAAGCTAAAGACAGAAATGAGTGACCTCAGAGAAGTCCATGTCTTATCACACTGCACAGAGCTGTG